GTTTAAACAGAATGAAGAGACTTGAGACCTACAGTACCTGTGAAAAGGTGAGGAAATTTGATGGGCAGGATGACTGCTTCCTTCAAAGCTTCCTTAGCTCCTTCCAGCCCAGCAACATCATTCCACCTCACATTGGGTTTCTCCATTACAATAGCACCTACACACACAAAAAACAGTAATGATGACACACCTACTGGGATGCAATTAATAGACACGGCTGTTTGATTATGACAAAACCAAAGAAAATTGTAAGAAATAATATCATAAATAAATATTTAGCTCCACATGATGGGGTTAAATCCCCCCCAAGGCCACTCACCCATAAGCTGCTCCTGCAGTTTTTTCTTCTCAGGGTTTTCACCCTCACTGTCACTGTCACTCCTAGAACACGGAACATAAAAATCCAATAAAGCCTAAAATGTTGTTGTTTTTTTTTACATTTAAACATACAAAAAAAAAAAAGGACATCATACTTGTCATTGCTCTGTGCTTCTTTGACAGGCTTCTTGCCCTGTTTGTCTTTATTCTTCAGATAGTCCTTCAGTTTCTCTGCTCTGTCCAGGTACTGCATACATTTTGCTCGTATACTCTCCTTCGCCTTGTCGCTGTGGGCCTCATCTGGAGTAAGAGAAGATGTTGCCATCAGCAAGGTGTATGCAAAACACAAAGAGCTCAGCTACCTGTCAAGATAAGATACTTACATTTTATGGCATGTAGGAAATATTCCACAGCATGCTGGTACAGGCGCAGAGCCTCCTCATAATTTTTCGCCTTGTCCTCCTCTGTGGCTTTAGTGACAAGATCAATGGCTTTCTGTAGCAGATGCAGAGATATAATGTTAAACCATGGAGTCAAAAACAGGCAATAAACACATGTCATAAACACAGTTTTGTTTTCACTGTGTATATTATACCTGGGCCATCTGCTTAATAGCTTTAAATGCACCTGCTATCATTGATATGCACACAATACACAGCTGTACCTTTCTGTTAGTTCAAGCTCAACAGCCTTTGGTTCCCGAGGGAATGCTTCACTACCATTACTAACTTTAAAATAGTTCTTTCATCTCAGTCCTGACAAAACCAAGGCTCTTGTGTCCGGCCCTGACTGATTCGCCGAGGAAGTCAGCCAGTCAGCCTGCTCGCTGATAATATCAAATCATCTGCCAAGAACCTTAGCATCATTCGTTATTACTTAGTATATTTAAATCTCACATTTCAAAGCTCGCCCAGCTTTCTTTCATTAAAGAAACATTGCAAACATGAAACCATTTTTTTTTCCCACCCAATCATCCAGAACTTTTAGTACACACTGTAACTGTCTCCCACTTATTTTTGCATCCCTTCACTGGCTTCCAGTGAAATTCAAAATTGTATTAATAGCATAAAGTCCTACATGGCTTAGCTCTCGCATAAACATGGAGAGCTACTGAGAATTTACAACATCTTTAAGTATCTCAGATCATCTAATCACGCTCTTAACTGTTAAAAACAGAGGTGCCCAGGTTTTCAGGTTACACCTAAACTCTGGAACAGCATTTCTCAGTAATTCAGGTCAGCTGAACCTGTGGTTTGTTTTATAGGATTACTGAGAACTTTATATAAGTTACTTTAAAAAAAGAAACGAAAAGCAAAGAAAAGAAAAACAATCTTTCTCCTATTATTTTTGGCTATAGGTTTACATCTGATGTATGTATAAAAGTTGCGTATATATATTTCGATAAATGCAAGACCATGTGCTGGAACATATTCACTTGTGTTTAATGTCTGGTTTTATTTAAACTGTGAAACACTTTGTAACTCTATTTATTTAAAAGTGATAAACAAAAGTTGTTATTATTATTAAAACAAAGAACAAGCTATTCCTTAAGACAAATATTCACTGTGCTGCTTATAAAGCCAGTCGTCAGACTAAAATAGTCCCCCCAAAACAGCAACGCTTTGTTTTCTGTCCTTTTAACTGAGCGAGCAGGGCCATACAGGCCGGCTAACGGTGACAGCAGATACCGTTAGAAACACCCTACAGGCGAGGCACAGCCAGTAGTACCCGCAACAAAGCCTATCGTTTCTATAATATGTAATCTAGACGACATATTTATTGTAACACCAAACCAAGGCAATCTTACTATCGGCTGTTTTGTTAGCAATTTAGCTTGCAGTACATCCAGCCACCTTAGGGTTTAAGAGCTAACCGTTATTTTGTATGAAGGTAGCCGACAGGCTGGAAACTGTGTTTTGAATTAGAATCTTTCTTTAATCGTTCAGTGGAAAAAAATAAATTATCTACCAAATGGCTCGAAGAGTCTTCGTAGCTTCCAGAAAATTCTTCCGCACGCAACCCAGTGTATTCAGAGTTGTAAAAAACCCCGCTTTTTGCTCCAATTATACACAAATCAAAGGCTAGCTCTGTGACCAAACTGAAGCGGGCTAACGTTAGCCAGCTAACAACAGCCTACCTGTAATGTTGACGTTGTCATTTCATCTCACTTTAATGTGACACGCGCAGATTTCTGTCCTCTGTTCCTCCGCAAAGGTGGACACCTGAAGAAGTGATGTCTTTACCAGCCCTGTTCTGTACGAGGACTGCACGCTCCTGTCATGACAAAACAAAACAGTGGCTAATGCGGCGGCTAGCAAAGATGACAGCTCGACCCAACAAGACGTCAACCAACAGGGGCAGTGTTGCCAACTCCTCAGTAAGGAAAATCGCTATTGGTTGTCCTAGAAGTCGCTAAATGACGTCATCGCCTAATTTGCATAATTGGTCATGCTAATCTAATCGTAACCTATGTTGTTGGAGAGAGAAATAACATCGTGGAAGAGACATAAAGTGAGTAAAAAACGTCCTAAATGCATTTAGAGTTTATTTAGAACTACAAATTAAATTTCTTTTAGCAATTATTGTTTTTTTTTAATGTCACAATTCCAACCCTGCTCCTTTACCCGGTTTTGGACCGGCAAAAGTGACCCAAATTAGGCACTCTGGTGGAGTTATTTTGGCTACGTTCACATTGCAGGTCTTAATGCTCAATTCCGATTTTTTTGATCAAATCCGATTTTTTTGTCTGCTTGTTCCCACTATAAATAAAATGCGACAGCAAACGCGCTCTAGTGTGAACGCTCAAAGCGGCCCGCATGCGCAAAAGAAGACGTCACACACAACGAACTCCGTTTATACCCAGAGCAAACAATATTGTTTGACTGATGACCGTTAATATAAAGACTTCCGACTTTACGTTTCCCAATTTTTACATAATAATGTAAATAACCTAATAATTATCCTTATTGCTGTTTTAGAGGAGCGGTGCTTTAAAGGATAGTTGCAGATTTCTGTCAGAATCTGCAGATTATACAGAACAAATAAAATGTTCACGTTTCTCCAACGTTGTCTTCCCAACAGTTTCACTGACATCTGGCCAGGAAGCGTTCGCGATGTCTTCTCCGGCGCTGATAATTGGCGTCTGTCTTGTGTCAGTGACGTAAAAGACGGATTTAATGCGACATGACCGTTCACACAGCAGTCGCTTTCTGAAACATCGGATATGTATCGGATTCAGTACCACATACGAAAGTGACCCAGATCGGATGTGAAAATATCGGATTTGTGGCGTTCACACTGTCATACCATGATCGGATATGGGTCGCATAGGGTAAAAAAAAATCGGATTTGATGCGCTTTCGCCTGCAGTGTGAACGTAGCCTTTGTGTGTGTGTGTTTATAAGTAGTTTTAAACCTTGTGATCCACAAAACAGCATAAGAGTAAAAGAAGAACTGGCTGCGTTACAGCACCCGCTGCTTGTTGATAGTAAAAGTGATACGCGCTTTCACGTCGTTTTTTAGCAACTTTTTTTTTTTTTTTTAAGTCGCTGAGGGGTCTGAAAACTCGCTAAATATAGCGACAAAGTCGCTAAGTTGGCAACACTGAACAGGGGAGCTCATACGTGACAGCTTCCGGCGAAGACTTCCAAAGGGCCGTGGCGTAAAAAAAAAAAAAAAAATCAGCAAACATGTAGTCACCACATGAATTATTAATAATACACCAAGGTTATTATATTCTCAGAATTACATTTATATATAAATGTAATATTTTTCCGAGACTATAGAGACCATTTAACTTGGAAAACAACTTCCGATTTTGTAGCTAAACTAATAAACTTGACAAACTTCAGGGACCTTAGCAAATGTTCAATGGCCTGCAACTACTGCCACCTAGCGGCCACAGCCACAAGCCTTTCTTTAAAGGCAGGAGTAGTTGGAGAAACACTGCGCTCATGTGAAATCAAGTATTTGGGAACGTTGTAGAGTACCCAACTGAACCATGCGAGAAAAAAAAATTATGGGATAGTTAAATTATGTTTGTGTGTGTTTTAATCTGTACATATATTGTGACTGTATTATATAAACCCAGAACACAGCAATATAAAATTGGATTTTGAGTGTAATGTTCACTCACACTCTGATGGATGCATCAGGGGCAACTCGGGCTTCAGTGTCTTACCCAAAGATGCTTTTCAGCAAGCAGCCTGGAGGAGTCGGGAATCGATGCACCGGCCTTCAGTTGATCTTCCACCTGCTCCACAGTCATCCCTGACAGACGCACCAAATTATGACCCCCACCAAAAATCTTCCTGACGCTTTTCCTCCACAAACACGTTGAAAGATCTATGGGTACTTCTTTGAGCAGCAATTTTGAAAAATTATAAATAACACATAAATAATAAATAAATGATAAAAGAAAAAAAGTATTGAAAAAAGTACTAAAAGTAATCAGTAACTGTCCAAAAGTCCAGCCAGTCAATGTAATTGTGCCATTCAGACTAACCTGCCACTAATATCTGGATGTCTAGTCAAAGTTCACTAGAATGGAAACAAAAAAAATGTTTATAGCGTGTTTAGTATTAAAAAGGTTCAGTTATCATAAACACAAAGATGCTCTGGTTCATCTGACTGAGCTGTGGGCCACAAGTCACACAGAAAACCACTGAAAAACAACACCTTGGTTTCTGTAACTTACAACAGTTTTATTGGTAGGTATGTACATTTGAGATTACTACATTGTTATCATACATTGTATACCATCTCTTGGAAGGAAATCTAAAATACTTTGCATATGACAGGTTGTCGCAGCAGCATTTATCCTCGCGACTTTTCAGTTTCATGATTGTGTTGGACGCAAGCTGCCACAGATAATACCTTTGGTTCCACAAACCCCTTCTTTGAAGCGTTGCATAGACAGAACAGCCACGATTTGAGAACAAAGAGAGGAAGGAGATAAAAGGTGTACATTCACAGGTTTAAAAGGGGTTTGACAGGTTAGTGCATCGAGCTCAGAGAGGAACAGGACGGCCTCGTAGCTTCTTAAACTTCACATAATCAGATCAGGTTAGAGCAGTTAGTGACAAGAAAGCGTGGTGTAAAAGCGTATCCCTTTCACTACTGCTTCAAATGTTGCAGAAACTGACTTCATGCCAGGCTGAGCATAGCTCAAACTGTGACGTTTTAAGGGAAGCAAAGCTAACTTCTGCTGTAATACAGCTAACATTAACTGTAGCTTGAAAAGGCTTAAATCGCTAAACAGGAAGTGAGTGTACTGTGATGAATTTTCACATTCATTAAAAGAAAAAAAAAAAAGAAAAAAAAAAAAAGCATCACAAGGACACGATGTCCCAAATGGGACAGAGGTCATTCAGGCGGGTGACTGTGCTCCGTATCAGAGAACCGGGGTTATCTTGTTTTCCTATGTTGCAGTCAGTGCGCACAATGCCACATTGTGTTCTTTTGGACCTCAGACAGAGGCTCTACTGAAGGGTAACTTTAGCTACATGAATAAGCTGACAGTGATTAAAATGTGTTTATTACAGTCACGTTGAACTCATTAACCAGCCAACGCAGGCAAAATGAACTGAAGGGGGAAGAATGGTCAACTTGCATATATTGGAAAAAAAATAAAAGTGTGGTTCAGTCAGTTAAATATCACGTGCATCACATTGTGTCTGTCAGCACACTGACTACATGAACACCAACACTGCTGCGAGTGACCAATACGACTTACAAGCGCTCATCATTTCTCAACATTTAACACAATTTTAGCACATCGGAGGGATGAACAAGAATGAATGGCTGGCATTCTTTTTCCCTGTGCTAACTTTGCATTATAATCAGTATTGTTGATGTTAAAGGGAACACCTGCTGCTCTTTTCCAACTCGATATTTTTATTCTGGGACTCCACAAGAGTAGCTCTGCTTGATTTACAGTTTAAAAAAAGATAATTTATCTACTAGACCCTCAGATGAGCCTTGATCTGCTTTAAATGGGTAATTTTAGCCACAGGCCCTTAAAAGACACCACCACCCTTTCAGTAAAGGCTAACTTTATTCTGATTGGTTGATTTCTGAAAGGTTGCTGGGGGGGGGGGGAGCTTAAGTTTGAGAATCATAACTCTCAATCAAATCTAATCTGGAAAAAAAAAAAAAGAGTGGGGAGGACAAACATCTGCAGCAGGTTATAGCAGAAGGTTTCTGTTAGGTGAATATCAAACTAGAGCTTTTTACATGTGTACATATACTCTTTTCTTAACCTTGCATCCTGTTTTTTTTTTTTTTGTTCCTTGAACTCAACCCATGAGTGAGTGAAAATGAAATTTAAATGTGGTCACCACATGTGCACCTGGCTGCTTAACACGAAGTCTGTCAGTCTGATAAACTGAAAATATCGAAATGACGTTTGTCGGCTTTGTTGGTCTTTGGCAGCAGAGTCACAATATTTGTTAAATGAAGAAACTGTTTTTACAGAATGAGTCATTAAGCTGGCTGATTATTTCAAGCAAACAAGGAAGCTGAGGAAGGATTGACACTTTCTATTCTTGGACCCATCATTTCCTCTGTGCTCATTAACTTGACCAAACAGAGTGCAGTACTTTTAGTTTAAAGGCCGGTCCATGAAAATATTGTCGGGCATAAACCGGTCCGTGGCGCAAAAAAGGTTGGGGACCGCTGTGCTAGAGGACAAATAAAGAGCTGGAAGCGAGCGTAACAGGTCCACCTAATATGAGAGACTTTTTTTTAACTTCTGTTAAGGTTTAATACTTTTCACTTTGGGTGCTTAAAATGAGAAAAATTCACTGTAGAACTTGTTGGGTAAACTCGGCCATTCATGGTACTCCAGAGGAACACTGATCTTTGAACATTCAATCACCCAGAAATAAGATAATACAACTTTCCTGAATCTGTTTTTTGTTTTTGTTTTAGGAGGTGAGGCAGTTTTAACATTCACTGTCAGTTCACTGTCAGCTCACTGTCATGTGACGCTCCTGTTAAAAGGTATTTGACCACACAAATGCTGATGTGGGCATGGCAACCAGAGAGGTGTAATCACAAGCGAAGCAGAATGAGATGAGACGATGTGGTAGTGTAGGTGTCTGAGTCGCGGGTGGGGGAGGTAACGCACGGTCATGTCATATATAATCGTCTAATACAGAGTCCAACATCAGGAAGTCATGCTTTCAGGAGATACACACTAAAAAATCGTAACATTGTTTACACTATAAGAGTAATACTATTGCTTGTGCATGTCTGAAGCGTAAAATTCTCTTATTGTGTGAATTTAAAAAAAAGGGAACACTATAAAGAGTGTCTCTGACTACAAGTAACAAGGCACAGTTGGTGATCCTGATTACAACAGTAGTTTGGGATAATGTGCTAAAACTATGAGGCACACTATCAAGCCAACGGCAGCGTGCAGCGAGGAAAGACACACTCGTCCGCAGAAATCTTTCACGCGCACAACCTCCGCTCGGGTAACTGCATCGCGACTCTAAAGCAGCGTCTCCCTCTCACAAAGACAAACACGCACGCTTTAAAAAGAGCCCAAAATACACCGGAAGGCTGTCGTGGAATGATAGGCAGAGTAAAAACTGCGAGCGTTTACCAATCTGCGCTCGGTCAGTTAAAAAAGCCTTCCTTTAGTTCGATGCACTTCACTAACACGTTTCTTAGAGCGCACAGGTACTGCAATCTCATAAGCACATCGGCTGCATCAACATCTCATCGGATATTTATAATGAAATATATTTAAAAAGAAAAAGCCCCACAATCACGTGGAATGTTATGAGATTGTTAACTGCTATATATATGTACACACTTTTTGTTTTCTGTGAAAACAGTCTCCCTTCACCTCGTGACTTAAAACAAAGTGCCCCTTCCTTGTACCTCGCCTCGCAACGCAGCTGACCACAAGGGGCCGAGGAGAAGCTGGAAGAGAAGGCACATTTTTGAGACAATCAGACAAAGCACCTCCTTGGGTTAAGGTTCCCCCTGCAGCACCACGCCAGGCCTGACTTCAGCTGTGAGCGGACAAGTTGGAAAAACGAACAAGATATTAAAAAGAAATGAAAACGAGAAAGAAAAAAGAATCCTCTCATCCACGCTGTCAGCATTTGGCGGGCTTCACGTCAGAAGACCCATGCGAGTGAGTTTGGCTGACAGGAAGGAGTGCAGGACGAACACCACTGGCTTTGGACCCGAGTGGAGATCAAACACCTGTAGGGTGGAGGGAGGGAGGAAGTTAGAGAAAGGAAAGGAGGATGAAGGAGAAGAAAAGAAAAATTCAAGATATCCAAGATATTCCATTATTCAAATGCAGATTATTGTTTTATTTGTTCCTCAACACTTTTATGGAAAATGGAAAATATTCCAGCTTTAATGAAATGGGCTGAATAGAAACAGTTTTCCAGTTTAAAAAAAACCCAAACATTTTAGTATTTTACTGTCACTGACCAGAAATATCTTTATTCCTGTTCTACAGATCCCTGACAGGTTGCATTTTACCTTAATTTTATTTCATATTATTTAATTTTACTGATCTTTATTTGCACTTTGACTTGCCTTCTGTGGATGGAAATGTAATTTCTTAATCTAAGGAATATAGTCCACAATAAATAAATAAATAAATAAAATCATAATCACAATATGTTACAACCAGTGACAGTATCTCAAAAAGTCTGACATCATAATACAATTGAAAAACAGAATTAACGGCACACTATCCACTACTGCATACTGTGTGGCACAGCTGGAACAGCTATGTGGTGGAGGTTCTTTAGGCATACCAGCTCTCTCAGGCTAGTTGGTAGACGGAAAACTAAAATATGCAAGTGAGCTTCCGGTCAGTTTGACTGCTGTAACGTAAATTACTGTTTGTAATGCACGGGTAAGTGAGCTTTCACATCTTTATGATAAATGAACTGTAATTATTCATGTACCATTAGCTTCAGTTCGCCTTCTTGTTGACATTCTTTTCTCTTTTTTCCCCATAATGAAAAACTCAACATGATTTCGGCTGGTTTAGCGTTTCAACACGCAGACGGTAAAAAAAAACATTGATGGAGATTCTGTGTTGAAAAAATGAAGCCAGTCCTAAACCTGCATTCTACCTGAAAGCCACCAGATGGCGATAGCAGGGGCTGCAAACACACTTTCAACCCTACTGAAGTCTACGGAAAACAGCAATTTTGCTGAGGACTTTATGGACTCAGTCACGTGCTTTGGGTCATTTTTTTAAACTATTAAATTCAGTTATTTAAATATTGGTCAAACGTTGGCTAACCACTTGTGATAGACAAGTCATTGGTTGGACCGGCCCGCCTTGTCACCACTGTTCCCTCTAAGCTGAGCGCGTGAGCAATCGTGCACTGCTGACACAGTCTTACTTTAATTCCAATTCAGGCTGGACTTTTTTTTTGTGCGCAGCGCAGATTTTCTGTGTGGGGAGACTGTGTCAGCACTCAGCGCGCTCAGCTTAGAGGAAACAGTGCCTGTCACAATCAAAACAGCAGAAATGTTGTGGATTTAAAACAGACTTCAGAAACTAACCGGAGACGACATGGCAGCTACGACCATCTCTTATATACACACATGGTATATTTGGTACATAAATATTTCAGCATGACGCAAAAGTTTTAATAAAACTGAGATTTAGGAATATTTTTGACATTCTTAGGTTTAAAAAGATTTTCCACTCACAATACATTCATAAACTGACAAGTTGCTTTACTACAATTTACCATTTCTCCCTCTGGACCTCCGAAGTCAAGGTACAGGTTGCGTATTCCATCGTCGGCAGACACTTTAAGCTTCTCGTAGGGGTATCTGTACAGCACAGCCCCCCCGCTCGGGTCGGCTGGCTCCCTCGTCACAGTGAAGCCTTTTTCATAGTGTAGAGTCAGCCTAACTTCCTGTCTGTTCAATGTGCAACCTAGCGGAGAGGGCGACAGGGGAAAGAGCTCAAGAAAAACTAGTGCACAGGTGAGTCACAGGGAGAAATGTAACAGTGCCGATGTGCAGAGGCTGGTTCTGGAAAACGTTGGGCTGAAACTAAAATGTTTTTCACTCTATTATTACTTTACCAGTTTCTCAATTATGTGAAGTTTTCTAAAACTAAACAGTTCTATGTTCAAATGAAATTTTTTCATTAAACTTTTCAAAACACAACAAATCAAAAAGTTTAATGCAGTAAAATATTTAAGGAAAACACAAAGAGTGATAAACAACTGAAACTGATTTTTTTACACATAAATGAACATCAAGCTTTTGTATCAAACAGAGTATGAATTCAGATTTATTATTGTAACAAATCCACTCTTACAATAACAGTGCTGATTAACAGTTGCAGTCCAAAGACAAGTTTGTGTTTTATATAAAAATCCAGGCAGCCTGCCGCAACGTGACCGTGAGGTCATCTGATCTGAAAGCATTTCCATGCGCATTACTGTAACCCAAATGTTTCTGCACAACTGTGTGTTTGTGTAGCAGCGGGACAGGGAAGGAGAATAGGAAAAAAAAAAGGCTGAGGCTTTCCAGTGCTGTTCCGGCAGCCAACTATTGTTCTGCACAGAGTGGAAACATTCCCCTTTGCTGCCTCCCATTTCTGCCTTTCCTACACAGAGCTGCTCTTTCTGAGCGATGGCACACTGTTGTGAGTCAGCTGCTGTCAGAAGCTTCCTGTCACAGTCCAAAGTACACAGGCCTATAGACAGGAAATATTTTATCTCTTTATTCTACTGCTCTTCTTCAAGTGGCATAGACGGTTTAGTTCACTGACTAATATTTCTTGATTTCCACTTAACATTTACTTGGAAGGAGGTAAAGGTGAACCCACATCCTCTGGTTCAAGGTCTGCTTACAACACGCCTCTGCTAACATGTGTGTACCAACACAGAGCACACACATCGAAACACGTACACATGCCACAGTGACGTAATCCACTGTGTTTGTACAGAATAATAAAGTGCCTCCTGTGGGCACAAAACCATCAACCTATTGTAAACTTGGAATAAGATACACTGTCAGATTTACACACAGATCGGACACTTGGGTCACCTGGGTCTTTTCACGTGTGTTGTGAATAAATGTTCTTTTTTTGGTACTGGTTTTATTTTGTTGTATTTATCCGCGAGACGGTCCGTGAAAATATTGTCGGACATAAACCGCTCCGTAGCACAAAAAATGTTAGCGACTGCTGGTCTGGACCACACTACTAAGTTTTGCTCTTTCAAATGAGCCACATTGCTCAAAGGGGCACAATTGTTGTTTCTCATTTTGTTTTTGTACTCAGGAAAAATGCTGCTGTGTTCAGGCACCAAATACTAAAGAATAAGTCAAAATAGCAAAGAGAAATTAAAAATGCATGCCATGAAAGAGTTCGGGTTTTAGGAGGTTAAGAATGCAGAGGTTTTGGTCCATATGACATGACTGTGTCACGACAGCATGACATGTGGAGGTCACGATCCAGTTGATCAGTAGTTTCTCTCCCTCTTCTCCAGTCTGATGCTCAGTTTGAGCTTCAGCAGGTCTTGGCCATATCCACATGTCAAACAGCTGTGATGTACACTTGTACCTAACAAAGTGGCCTATGATTTTTTTTATAACCATTTAGGCTGACCGTGCGGTAAATGAATCAGAAAGCCAAACTAATTTTATATTATCAATAGAGTATTTTCAAGAGACTATTGTGATTGTATTATATCGCCTGTTACAGCAGTGCGTCACCTGTTATTCATCAGCCATTGCTGCTAGCAGAGTTAGCATTTAAAGCTGCAGATACTGCTAGCACACCTGACCTCAGATACCCCTGTCAGTACTTTATCGTGTGGTAGTCTCTTTCTGCTACATGCTAAGATGGTGGCTGCAGGTTCACACTTATCTTAATGCCAGTTATGACGACACATTTAGGTTTCCAGGAAGCACTTAATTCAGCTGCACCTGAAACTGTGAGCTAATTATTTAAAATAGCAAGTGGATGTTAAGAAAAACAAAACAGGCAATCATTCAGAGCCTAAAACTGTTATGCTCACAGTTGGTGTGGGCCACAGCTTGTGAGTTTTGCTTGATGTGTTTTCAGCTTTGCTCATGATCTCCAAACTAAAGACTATAAATGACACCCACTCACCAATGGAGACTTCTTTGATGATCTCAGCGGCGGTGTGCGTCCCCTGCACGAGGGCTCGCGTCCATGATGACAGATCCCAGTGGGTCTCCACTCGGAAGATGTGGGACTCGATGCCCCGGCCCGTTCCAGTCCGAGTGGCAAACACCAGGTCTGAACCCTGGGCGGGAGAACTGCGGGCGCTGCCTGAGTGAACCAGTCTGGGGAGACATGACGATACAGGCAAAGAGAACGTTATTGAAGGAAGAAAGACAGAGGAGGGTTCATTTTACTTCCCCATAACCCAAACTACATATTTAACGATTCTCCAACTCATCCCTGTGCTATATACTTCTTCTTCTGGTCAACATGTGGAAACCACAATATCTGTAATGTTGCAAGAGCATGCAAAAATCTTCAGCTTGTCTCCCAACATGTCAGGCCTGTGTTTGTCCGTTTAACCCAACTAAATGCAGCATTAACGTCATTACGTTGCAGTTCTTGATTATAAAGAAAAAAGGCACAATGTATTCTGCTGTAATCGCAATCAAAGATAATTCTGCTTTCTTCCAACCGGCCGTTCTTCCAGTTAACATATCTATGATGTTTTTGTGGGTCACTGCCCCCTCCCATCGGTAGAGATTTGGAAAAGATTAGTTGCTGCTGTTGAGAGGAGTTCCTTTGATGCCGGCAACTAGAAATTTCCAGGTACTTACCACAAAAATTACAGCTCGTCAGCAGTTCCAGGAAAGTTTCTTTTGACACTCAGCTGATCTGCTGTTGAATATTTACTCACGCCCAGGCTCAAAGGCCAACAGTTCTCATTTTTAGCAAAAGCAGAAACATCTGCACAATGAAAGTGAAAATGAAACCCACTTTGCGAATACAAATGTAATAACAAACAGAATGTAAGGACCTTTAACCTCCTAAGACCCGAAGTCTTTCACGGCATGCACTTTCAATTTCTCTTTGCTATTTGGGCTGATTAGGACCTGATGAAGGTAAAAACCTGATTTTACCTGATTTTTGTTTTTAACCTGATTTTTGTTTCTAAAAAAAATAAAAAATCCACACATGAGGACATTCGTTTTAAATTTCGATAAAACAGTGGCAGTATAATATCCTCGTAAGTGGACATCAGGCCGTTGTAGAGCAAAATTTGGTGCTTTGGTCTAGACAACCCAAAATGTGATGTCCACATATGTGGACGCCAGGTCCTCGGAGGTTAAATATCATAAATGTTTCTGTTCAGCAGCCAGACTCTTTTCAAAAACAATTTTTTTTTAACCAATTTTACCAAAATCGTATGATAGCAAAAGTTTATTTATTATATATAATACATTACAGAGCATATATATACTTATTACTGTCAATGGCATAAAGCTCTTTTTAAGGATTTAAGACTTTTAAAAACCTGAAACATCTGATGAAATATGACAAAGAAAAAAATGTCACAAAACTAAAAATCTGAAAGCAGAGCTGTCAGTAAAGATGTGAATAAAGACTGCTGGTGTGTTTACCTGGTGGCGAGCAGCGGGTGTGTGAGCACAGGCATGGACCAGGACTCTCGGCTCCACGGCACCGATTCAAATAGCAGGATGTCCTTCTCAGTCAGCGCCATGACCACTGGTCTAAACTGCTGGCGTCCACCTTCTAGCTGGACCTGAAGAAGAACGTTGAGTACTGCTTAAGAAACCTGGCCTTGATCACACAGTTTAGCGAACTATAGGCCTATTTCCAAGCTGCCTTTAGTCTCCAAGGTTTTAGAGAAAATTGTTTTTAGTCAACTGAAAGATTTTCTAGATGAAAATGGCATCTTTGAGGTTTTTCAATCAGGTTTTAAAACCCTTCACAGCACAGAATCTGCATTATTAAGGGTTTTGAATGACATCCTTCTGGCATGTGATTCTGGTAACCATGTTGTTCTTGTCTTGCTTGACCTAACTGCTGCCTTTGACACCGTAGACCACAATATTCTAATTTCTCGATTACATGATGTAGTGGGTATTGGTGGCACTGCACTTAATTGGTTTAGGTCTTATTTGTCAAATAGAACTTTCTCTGTCAGCCTTCTCGGTTACGAACCATCTTCTGCTCCTCTGTCATGCGGCGTCCCACAGGGCTCAATTTTAGGGCCACTGCTCTTTTCACTGTATCCATTGTCTCTGGGTTCTATCCTTAGAAGGCATCGGATTTCATTTCATTGTTATGCCGATGACTGCCAAATTTATTTGCCACTAAAGCACAGGGATGGCATCTCCATAAAACCTCTCTCGACATGCCTAGATGACATTAAAGCTTGGTTGGCTCTAAACTTTTTAAATTTTAATGAAAAGAAAACAGAGCTGTTGGTGTTTGGACCCAGTGGTACCTCTGAGTCGTCCTCTGTAGATTTGGGACCCCTGGAAGTCTATTTTAAACCTGTTGTTACTGACCTTGGTTTTAAGTTGGACAGTGATTTTAAATTGGACAACCAAATCAGAGCAGTGGTGAAGTCCAGTTTTTATCATTTAAGGCGACTGGCAAGAGTAAAATCTTTTCTTTCGAGGCAGCACCTTGAAACAGTGATCCATGCTTTTATTTCTTCCCGCCTGGACTACTGTAACTCAATTTATGTGGGGGTCAGTCAGTCGTTGCTCTCACGTCTGCAGCTGGTTCAAAATGCTGCTGCACAACAGGAACTCGAAAAAGAGAGCATATAACCCCCTTGCTAGCCTCTCTGCACTGGCTGCCTGTGTCTTTTAGAGTTAATTTTAAAATTCTTATATGTTTGTTTTTAAATGCCTTCACAGTCTTGCCCCGCCTTACCTCTCTGAGCTTCTTCATCCCCACATACCCTGTCGGTCTCTCAGGTCAGCTGACCAGCTGCTCCTGGAGGTACCGAGATCCAGGAGGAAGCTCAGAGGGGACAGGGCCTTCTCTATTGTGGCTCCAAAATTATGGAATAATTTGCCCATGCATGTTAGAGAGGCCCCTTCACTGTCCACTTTTAAATCACGTCTTAAAACCCACTTTTATTCCTTGGCTTTTAACCTCAGTGAGACTTAGTTTCTCTTTTAATTGAAGTAGTTATTTAATTAATGATTTCACTCTTCTTTTATTTGTGTTTTATTTATATCTCATGTAATTTTATTTTACAGTTCCAATGTACAGCACTTTGTGTCAGCTGTGGTTGTTTTAAAGTGCTTTATAAATAAAGTTGATGATGATGATGATGAGTAGAGATGGTAGAGCCGACATTTTTTGTTTTTCACTTCCACTGACTTTTCTCCAATCCTGCTGTTTACACAGGTATGGGTGAACAGATTATAAAATAAAGCAGGCTTTGGTTATTAAATTTTAATCATGTTAATTATGAAGGGAGAAAAGGCTTCATGATGCTTCTGTAGATAAAAATCTGGCCAATTAGATCAATTACACCAGTCAGGGTTCAAATCAGGAACCTCTTGCTGCGAGGCAACAGTGCTACAGCCGTTACATCACCGTGCTGCCGTAGAGTATAACAGGGGGTGTAGTCTGACAGGATATGGATGCTGTGATGCAGTTTGCTAATGTAATGATGTAGTTTTTACAGAGTACAGGTGTAGCAGAGGAGTTAATCAGGTCATCGTGACAACCTGACCTGATTTTTCTTCTAGCCGTGTGGTAAAAATAGGGCAATGTGTTCATCCGAGTCATTACTGCGAGACTGGAGTTTTTTCAGTGAAAAGCAGCAACACTAAAACACAGAGTGTGTCTGCGGTGCAGAGGTGGGCTCTGCAGGATATAACGTAACAAGGGAAACTTCTATCTCTGCTTCCTGTTCCAGCCAGGTCAAAATATACAGAACTACACACTTCAAAGTGAAGTCACTGTTCCTGTGTGCGATAAAAGTATAGCCTGCTTTCAGAGGCCACGTGGAGAGGTTAGGACTGAGGCTAATTAAAGAAAACACGCTCTTCCTGTGGCTGCTTCACATACAGAAGTGCCAGCCTCCACGTCCGAGCGTCAGGTTTGTTTAGTGACATACGAGCAACAAAGAAAACCACAGATGCAATTTCCTCTTGAGGGCAGCTTGTGCTTCAACTCTATTCATCAGTACTAATAATACACTGGATTTCCACTTTCTACCATGTAGACATATACAAAAATATTTCAGTTAGATTGGCTTCCTGTTAATTCCAGAATTTAAATTACATTTTTGATCCTTGCATAAAAAGTCCTGAACGCTCTTAAAGACTTCACAGCATAATGTTACCCCTGTGGAGCACTTTGCTTTCAGGATGCAGGCTTATTTGGAATTTCTAGAGTTTCTAAACGTAGAGTAGGAGGCAGAGCCTTCAGCTATTAGGTACCTCTTCTGAGGGCCCAGCTCTCAATTTGGATTTAGGAGACAGGCACCCTCTCTGGATGATTTCTTTTTGGATAAATCTTCTAGTTTGGACTGGTTCTTGTCACTCTGAACGACCCCTTTAGCTATGCTAGCATAGTTTCCCACTGCAGGGGGACTTCCCATCATGCAATGAGCACCTCTTCTTCCTTACATGCCTCTATTGTCTACCCTCTCATGCAGTCTGTGTTTTGCGCATTCATTGTATGTTCTTCTGTTTTTTTTATAAGTGCATTTACTTACAATACAAAGTGCGTAGAGGTGGATCTGTGTTTACACTGGGTCTCCTTAAGCTTTGATGCAATTTTGCTGCTGGATACAAAAATATCCCAGGAAAACTAAGGCTCGGGTGACAGTGTATTTTTTTTTTTCCCCAACACAGTGACCTTTGGTAGCTTTTCGCAGGTACCTAAAAGGTGGGTGGTGAAACAGTTGGGGTAACTATGGAAATTCTGCCCTGTTAAAGAGCCATGCTGCTGCTGCACATCGGGCAAAAAGAGAGGGTGATAGAAAGTGAAAGTAAAGCCTCAGTAGAGACAGAGCAAGAGAGGGTTCAAAACAAACAGTTCATCCATTAAGCAACAAAACCTGGCAACAAAAACTTTTTCTCCGCTTGTCTTCCAGCTCAAAGTCATCTGGTCATGTGTGTCGTTGTTTTGGGGCTTTTTGGTCTTTTTTTAATGTAGTAACTCATGTACAGTACAGCACGCAGGTAAAAATACCTGTTCAGCCAGCCAGCCGATGTGTTTGAGATGGGGGTGTGTGGAGGCTGAGGTCGAGGCCCCCAGGTAGGCGCTGATGTGAGCCAAGGTCTGTGGCAGCAGGGCGGCAATGTTGGTGTGGATGGCAGTGAACCAGGTGTTGGCGGTGGGGCCGTCTTTACATCGCAGCACCACCGTGTGCTGGCCGTCTGGGGAATGGAGCTCTAACAGTCTGGATGAGAGAAAAGGGAATCATCAACTAGATCAGACTTCAATAATTATTATAACGATTAAAGGTCACTTTCTTTAAAATTACCTAACAATGAGCCGTAAAAGAATAGTGCAGTTTGGAAATGGAGGAAGTGATGGTAGCCACTAAAACCAAGTACCTTCTAGTGGGTTATTCATGATGAAGTTAAATCTAATTTCCTCAGTAAATAATCATTTAACTGCTGCATGCTGCAGTTTAGAGCTTTTAACTGCAGCTGGCATTCCTTAGTTTTGTGTTTCAAGCTGATGATTCAGAAATCCAGCTCACTCCTTGCTATAAAATTCCACCCACTCAGCAGTTATATTCACAAACACGCTTCGATCGATTCCCGCAGACTCGATTTGCAAAAGGGCGACTCACTGTTTATCTGAGCAACAATTAGGATTTGCATCATCTTTATGGAAACTAACTGTTAAAACTCAGATTATAATTCTTCCCCCTGTATGTTTGCCTGCTAAGACCTTTGTGGCAGGAATAGTTCAAACTTAAAAAACAGCGTTGAACAGAATCATAATGTGGCTGAAGGTGACAGATCAGCAGGAATCCCAGAGAATGAGTGCATCTCAATGACATCCCCCATTGGTTGGGCACTTTCTTATAGCCTGCCCACCGTTGCTGCACAGCTGCACATGTGCAAGCTGCTTTGCAATGCACCTCCGCCTCAGTTCCTCCTTTTCATACCTAATCAAGGGGATGTCTGTTTTTGCTTTGTTCTCACTGTTCTGTTTGTGCTGCCACCAAATATAAATGACAGATGAAGATAACAGTCCTCTTTGGAAGATATCGCTTGTGAATTTGACTTTTTTTTAATGCTTTATTAACTTATTTTGGTGACTCCGTTTAGTGAAAGGTGATACTACATTAACCTCTAAAATCCTTTTGTAATCAATCAGCTATCATTGCTGTATCTTTGCTAATACCCTTTAGTATTTGCTAACAGGTGCATATACCTCAGTGCCTCTCTTGTGTGCCATTTCCTCAGACCTGTCTGTCCTTCTGAAATATCAAACTAATCAAATGGACGCAGCACTCGTTGTGTTACGCTGTGGAGCTGCAGGGGTAGAGCTTTATAGAACTGCCACGATAACAACAGTGTGAGTGACTCATTGTGGTTTTACTTTGGCAGTTTTCAGATCTCACTCTGACCTGGTGACGCGGCCAAGAAGGCTCATTGTGTTTCAAATTTCTCCCAAGTGTCTGTTATCCAAACAGCCAGACGTTTTTCATTCGCACTGCAGATTTGCAGCTGTAACTGGCTGAATCTGGGCATGTTTTTCAAGGTGCAATTTTTAAACTATAACCCACCGGCTTAAAGGGAATAGGCCTTTTCTGCAGGTGCTGCTTTACTTGGACATTTTCCACCATTCTCCTATTTATTGCGCGATAAACACAAGAAACATTTGTACTTTAGTGCATTCTTTCTTGGACAATTAGGTGAGTCCATTACTTGATTTGTCACTTTTTATTTCGCTAATTTTATGGAATTAAACTCTCGTAATAATTATTATTGTAATTGCTGAACAGCACCGGGGAAGAGTCTCTCCTCAGTTTTTGTTGCATTGCACTAGAGAGACACGGGAGATTCTCATCAGCATGAATAGTGAATGCAGCGACACAGAGAACTGGCACTATACGGTGGATGCTAAGTCATGCAGAACAAACAGCCAGTGTGCAAGTCTCGTTCCCATGTCCGAGAACTTTCTGAACTAACGAGCTATCCCAGAGCCCGCGCTGAAGTAGCTGCACACTGCAGGACGCCTACCCATATATAATGACAACCTCAACAAACTGTTGATGTCAAACAGTTGGGCAGCCATAATTGGCCCATCAAAGACTAAATTCTGGACTTTTAACTCATTAATTTTACAGCTTTTCTTACTGATAAGACCTCCCCCATTGCCAACCATACTTTATGTGAATTAAATAAAACGGTTTATAATTACAGGACAGCTATCAGAACTAATTCTGTAAATTTTACACATGTATTTCTTACAATTCAGTAGATACAGTAAAGAGTGTCAGGGGTGGGGCACTGCATGCACGCATATATTGGCGGCTTCTAGTTTTTAAACTTGCCCAACCTGACTCAACAATGGCCTTATTACATGGAACAGCCCTGTGTTAGGATTAGCTCAGCCAAAACTGCAGCAAATCCATAGTTAGAACTTTTCTTCACTTTTCACTTTCCTTCTATTTGCAAACAGAGTAGAAAGCATTCAGAGACACACGGAGCAGGTGGATGGAGGCCGCTGTGCTGAGAGCTGAGCTCCTTCTATAACCATCTAAAGGAAATGCCCTCTGTTTGACATTAACCAGGCCCAGGAGCACAACAAAGAAAAACAGAACTTGTTGGCCAGTGTTGGGAGCATTCTGCATATACACAGGTCTCCTTATTTGAAACTTTGGCCATGTTTGGTGAAAGCATTCGCCGCCGTTGATATATATCTGAACAGTGGTGAATCCTTTCGCTAAATATATGACAAAAACTAAGGAAAAGCATTGCAGGCCCACTTGAATATTCACAAAGACACAGGAGTGTGTCTGTCGTGCTTTTTATCTCTTTATAAAACAAACATTCCAATCTAATGAACAGAGGTTAGACACTGAAAACGATTACACACCCAACCACACCCAACCTCCCACATACACAGGTATTTCCCTCACACACACACACCTGTTCTCCAGGTCTGGCATGGTGAGGTTTCTGCAGATGAAGCACATCTTCAGACTGATGACCTTTCTGTCTTTGGATGAGGAGGAGCTGCTGCTGTGTTTGGGCGACCCTGAGTCATCGCTGCCGCTGTAGCTGGGTGACTGTGGGCGGACGCCGTCCCACGGCAGGTCAGCCACCAGGGATGGCTTCTTGAACAGTGGAGAAACCTCACGGATGTACTTCACTGTGGAGTAACAATAGAAGAAGCACATCAACCAATGAGGTTGTTTTTATTTTGCGTAGTTGTTATATTTTTTTTTACCCTTTTATTACATTATTTCAGCATATTTATATTTTTATGTTATCTAAGGTAGATTTAATTATGCTTTAAGTTTTATTTACTTATATATATTTTATTTATTTCATCTTGATCTTAGTGCAAACTGTGGCACCATTAATCAAGAGAAAATCAAATATATGAGATGGACATTTACCCCTTCTTTTTCATCATCGAATAAACCAATCATGTTGCTGTTTTTGAGAAGCTGAATGTAAAATAAGCTAAAATAAGACAGATGCTTGGTTGCGATATTTGGAGTGGCCATCTTTAACCCAAACCATAAGGAATCTCTGGGATGTTTTCTGAAAGAAGTCAGCTTTTAACCTGCTTCTGAAAACACGCGTGGAGAGCACTTCTTTCAGCCTCAGGTTTGGTCCTGTATTTATCCAACCTGATATCCAACCTGATGTTTTGAACATAATAACATCATATTTTGGCCGAGAACCCAGAGGCCGTCTTTATTCTTTAAAGTGGTCTCCTGCGTGAAATTATCTTAGAAAAACAGGACCTGACTCGGCCGTACGGCTTCGAGGTCAGCTGTTTGTAATAAAAATCACTTTTGCACCGATGTGATGGATTCACTTTCCAAATTTGGACTTTTGCCGCCTTCTAACCCCCACCTTGCCTTCACTTATTCTTCTTCATCCGTTTTATCCTCCTGTGCGAATGAACACTACATTTGCTCCGTGTTCAGTCCTGTGCATGCTCTCGTAGTCCATTTGTGTGCAAAATAAGTGAGTATGGGAGCTAAAAGAGAGAGTCTGGGTATGTGTGTATGTTGGACAATGAGTCGGTCTGCTCTGCATGAAACCTGAGACGAGGCTCTCGGGAGGTGAGGTCATTCTTGAATGTAGACCAGGATATTAGGATTGTGAAGGTATGCATGCGCAAGAGAGACCTACAATGGTTCAAGAGAATGTGAATCCAATGGCTCAAAATTATGAACTGAGGTATGAATAAATATTCATGACAGCTTTAATACTTGAACAGTACACACTGACAGTGAGAAGCTGGTAAACCTATTTAGCAATCATCTAAGAAAGGCATCCAAAGATTTAAGCTTTATAAATGAGTCAGATAAACTGTTGATGGGCTTAAAGATATGGGTAGTTAAAAATTAAAATTTAAAAGAAACTGAAAGAGAAAACGAGCAGCAAAAACTGCATGACAGATATTTAAATAAGCTGGCTAAAAAATGGATGTGGCAGCTGAAATACAAATAAAAGCATTTAAATGTTGAAGAATAAACACAAAAGACCTTAAATAATAAGTTATACAGTTTGACTGCAGATTAAAAAGCAATACATGACTGAAATTTATGGCTGCATTATGAAAAAGTTAAAAGTAATGAATAAGTACTTAAAATATTCAAGAAAAAGCTAAAGCTGTGTATAAATAATCATTAAAGTTGTCGTTTGAGTTGTTCTCGACGTCATGGTTAAAATGTCCAGCTTCTCTCACTGCTATTGCAAACTAAATAAATACATAAATAAATAAAATGACAACACAGATATGATCTTACAGTGTCAGTGAAACTGCATGTTTCAGAGTGGTGGGGTACCGGAAGCTTGAAGGTGGAAAACCACTAGAGTGCCTGTGTGTGACCCTGAATCACTCAGTGAGATACAGATTGACTGATATGTAGGTGCAAAGCATGCTGCACGGTGACTGTGTACATTACACGTATGAGTCAGAGGGAAGGGTGGAGTGGGGAGTAATGCTAAGGCAAGAGCAAAGACCAACCATCCTAACCACACCACCCACACCAACACGGTCTGGGGCCATTTCTGCAAACCTAAGTGGTTTGGACTAAGTAGGAGAGTGTGAAAGCATTCCTGAATGCCAGTGTTTATGTGTGAGAGTTCTAGAGAAATGCATGTCTCTGCTGCAAAGCCCCACTCTCACACTAATAATCAGATTTGGTGCAGAGATGTTCAGCCAAGATATTTTCCGTCAGCAGACCCTGGTCTCTTTGTGGTTCTGCATGTTTACATCTCTGCATGCGAACATCTCACTGTGGATCACCGGGCTGTGATTGTCTGTGTGAACGTCTCTGTTTCCTAACAGCAGCTTTCTTTCTTGAACTGTAGACAGCGACAGAAAGCATACAAGCTGTGGAAATTGGCTTTTTTTTTGGGTGCTGCTACCGCAGTCATTTGGTAGCCTCTTCTCAACCACATCAAACAGAGCCACTACAGAAGGTTTGATCATCTAACCCCGATGTCTCCTGGAATCGTCCCAGGTGAAGCGTTTCAGGCATATCCAATAGAGAAAAGGCTCCAGGACATACCAGAGAGATCATGTCTCAGCCCAGAAGAGCTGGAGGTGCTGGATCTCTGTTTAGACTGCAGCCACCATGAATCAGGCTCAGATAATCAACAGAGAATGAACCGGTGGAAACTACCTAATCAACAAACAGCAAATATTCACGTCCAGCTCCATCGATCTCTGTGACGGGAGGAGGAAAATCTTATAAGCCAAAGTCCCATCTCATCAATTAAATGGTGCTGCTTCTTCCTGCCAATGGAACTTGCACACTACCTCTTATTAATGATTTCACTCCAGACCAAAGCAGCAGGATGAACGCAGATTCAGCCAAACGTGTCCAAACACACTGGACGACATCTGATCAGAACACGCAGCAAAGTCACCAAAGAGCTTTTCATCCTGAACGGGCAGAATATCTTCAACTGTCCGAGTCAGTCATGTCAACTCAGCCTACCTGAACTGCAGGCTACACGTTGACCAGACGAGACCAGAACAAGTCGAGACCAGAGCATCTCAAGTGTCCTTCAGATCAGTTCATTTCATTTATCAATATTTGTTTAAGGTACTGTGGACCAGTAGAGACCATTTTCCCTGTCAGTAATAAAAAAATCTTGCTCTTGGCTCTTTAAACAAACAAAGAAAATGGGGGACATGAAAGCAAATGTTTCCTTTGCAATATCAGAGTGTTTCACAATGTCAGCTCTGTGTTAAAGGGTTCATCTTTATCTTCTTTATGCATAAGAACCGGCAAGGTTCACGTAATAGATCTGTACACATTTTTCCTTTTCTTGAACTTCTAAATATTGATCTTTTCAGTGGATTTAAGGTGTCTGACGGCCAGCTTCTGCAAATCAGATACATTTTCCCTTATTAATAATTTTTTTGAGTTTTTATTTGTTTTCATGAACAACAAACAATAACAATTACTGACATCCTTGGTAAAAATCAGTGTATCATACAGTCAGTATAAAATGTGGCTTGTAGTCTAAAGCCCTTTGAGTGTCCGGTAAGATTAGAAAAAGACTAAATAAATGCTAATGCATAACATTAGGATAGCTGAATCCCAGTGCATTGTTCTGTCTTAAGCACAGCTTAAAAACAAAACGACAACAACAAAAAAACCCATCAGAATCATTTTAGATCCACAGTGTGTAATCTGCTTGAGGTCTCCATTTTAAAAATCTGACCAGATTCTCATTGGTGTGTCTGCCCTCCTGTCCTCCTAGCCTGTCCCTGCAGCTTGATAAAACTTCCACGAAATATAGACCTTTAATTTAAGCCACGCAGTGCATAGAGCAGCTGTGCCCAGTGGATTCCTGGGGTAACGACTGAAGAACTTAGTGACATATGCCATATAAATATTACATCTGTATATGTATGTGGCATTCCCATTCAGCAACGAATGATGTTGCTGATGGTGCGTAAGCAGAGGCCTGGCGGACCGCTGGGTTTGTAATAGCTGGCACACACCCTGAAACCCGAACTCTCTACCCACAGGAACCTCACACAAAGATGGCAACGGCTACGGCCAAAATGTTTAGAAGACGTAAATTACACCGAAGTTGAAAAGAGACTAAAATTTCTCAAATGACCAAAAATCCAAAACTAAATCAGGGGCCAAAATTCATTCTTGAAGATAGTCCACTCTGACAGACTTCTTGTGTTGGGCATGGATCATTGGCCATAACAGGACAGGGTAGGATGGGATAGGATAACCAATGTTTTCAGGAATTTAACAATTTTTTATATTGGAATAAACTTGAGAGTATCTGATACACTCTCAGACAGAAAAAAGGATCACAATTATAGCAATGCAACTGAGATAGAACTATTATAATTCTCTTATGAACTAACAGATACAATAACAAGGTTGAAAAGTCCAGCCATACTTATGTTTCAGCTGCAACAAACCACTATATAGATAATAATAATAATTTGTCTTAATTAATCTGTACTTTTGTTTAATCCAAAAAAAAAAAGAGACATTAAGCCCCACATATTTTTCCAGAACCCAATCCAACATCCTTAAAATGCTGGTTTTGACCAACCATCTCTCCCAAAGCCAAAGATATTCAGTTAAGCAGCAAATTCCCAAAATAGTTGTGGTTTAATTCTGTTTTGACTAATGGTTGCAGCTCTAATCTCCATGCACTTTTGAAATTAAAAAGAAAAACATGCAAATATTAAGGGACGAATAGATGACGGTGGAATAGACCTGAAATGCTGATCTCCATCTCCATTGTGTGTAATTAAGTTGTTGTCCGGCTGCAGTGAAGCTTGTGAATGCTCTGTTGTGTAATACGTTGGCACTGTGGGCCACTGTACATCTGCTTCTATTCAGTTTTCCTTGTGTGTGTGTGTTTGTGTGTGTTTTTGGCCGAAATGAAAGGCCTTGCAGTGGCTGCACTCTTTGATGTAGCCATCATCGCTGGTTGTTGTCTCTCTTTAAAGCTGAGATGCCACAAACAAGCTTTACCTCTTGTGACGTTTCCAGCTGCTGCGATGTCACCACATTGTTACTCTTGGCTGTAGCCTACTGGCAGATACATATTTCTCTGAACTACTAATTATGCAATCCACTATACAGCTGAACATGAGGCATGACAGCAGATTCAGAGATCTTTTGAGAGCTTTCT